GTTCAACACACACCCTTACATTTTTGCTTCCTTGCCATCCATCCGGCACACACCGATGCTTGTCCAGTGCCAGTTTGACCCGAGCGGAAACCCACGTTTGTAGCCCGTAACGCGTGGTGACAAGCGCTTGTATTGATATGGAAATGCAGTTGAAGTCATCGGTGAAAGTGTCTTCTTCTTGGTCCGACAACCACTGGGGCGAGGAGGAGGTTGGGTGGTGTGTGTCGGCAGCGGCGCTCATCTCTGCCGTCAGCCCTGAACCGGCAGTGAAAATTCCACATTGGTCAAGGTCGAGGGGTCGTCATGGCCAATGCCGTGGATGTTTCCACACCTCGCTACCGCTTCCTTGCTGCTGCTCGTTCGCTCGTAAGTGGGGCAAGTCCGACACGCAACCCCCCCCCCCCCCCAAGGTCAACCACATCAGGTGGCTGTTATGTTAATTTGGATAATTTAATTCGCGATAAGATGGAATGGATGTTTATTTTTTTACATCGAGACGGGGGGAGCGTTTCTTGTTGTCCATTTTTATTATTGTCACGTTGATGGTTGACTCGAGTCTTCTGTGAGTTTTCACCCGGTTTTAAAACTATTTTGTTGATTTCGTCGATCGCTCGAGCCACAGATGTTAACTCCCTCGCCTGGTATGCAGGAGGTCGTGGGTTCGATCCTGACCCTGACGCCTCTATATTTGAAGTTTGCACGTTCTCCCTGTAGTCGCGTGGATTTTTCTCCGGGTCCTCCGGTTTTTCCATCCACATTTAGAATCGATATCATGCGTCCGGAGTTTTTGGCTGGCATAAATTTACACGTAATAAGCTACTTTGTTGAGCCATCGTTTGTGGCCAGGTCGCTTCTGAAAAAGAGCTATATAGCTCAGTGGGCTTTACCTGGTCAGAATAAAAAAAAGAAATAGTTGAATAGTAGTGGACGTAAATTGTCTACAGCTTGTGCTTTAAAAGCAACGCACAATCACAGCACCGCTTGGTGGGATGTTCGTCATCGGTCCAACAGCGGCGAGTCCGTTCGTGTCGCAAGAAGGTGGTGGTATTTTTATTGCCATTGTGAAGTTGCTTATTAGTTTTTATTTCTGTTTGGCGGAGAGGCAGAGAGAGGGAAACGGAGGGGAAGGGAAAGAGGAGGGCTGAGGGCTTTGCCGTTCAGGGCTTCATTCAACGCTGCCCCAAATGCGGAGGGATCAGGTGTACATTCCAGGCCGGAGAGTGTGCTCCACCCACTTTTTTGGCCTCGGTACAAGGCTCCCCCCCCCCTCCATTCCAAGTGCCTCCGAGACTCAGACAAGGGGCTGGGGAACGCTTGCACGGGAACACCGAGAGAGAGGAAGAAGGCAGAAAGCAGTAGAAATAGGTGGGAGAGAGTGAGCAAGCGACGGAACGATGACGGAAAGCTCGACAAGGCCGTCACGGCGCGGGGTAAAAAAAAATCGAGATGAGCTCGACACCGAAGAGGGGATTCGAAAAATATAAAAGCCTCCCACGGTCGCTCACCCCTTGACGTGAAATGGAACGGTCCGCAGATAATTTTGCACAGATGTGGCTGCGTAGAGACCGGTGCGGTGTTCCCAGGTGCAGGCAGCAGCAGTAACCTCGGGAGCGGTTCACTTTGCCGTCCCCGCTTTTTATTTTCCACTGCAAGGAAGGTTAACGCTGCGCGGTTGGAATTCAGCCCACCCCTGCCCCCTCCTGCCCCCTCCTGCCCCCCCCCCTGCCGCCCGCACCAGACAAAACTTTGTGATAATTAGAAATCTTGCTAACTTCCCCCCATTCGTCTAAATCCAGGTGCACAGCGTGCACGATTTTTGTCAGCAGAGTTTCTGTACCCCACCCCCCACCACCACCACCACCACGCTGCTGTTTGTGCTCTGTCCCGGGCTCCAACTAAAATATAATAACAAAAATGTCTTAAGAAATCTTGCAAACGAACCTAGGTGGCAGTGTACAGTGCTGAGAAACCTACAGGGAAATGAAACCAGGCCAGGATTTATTTTAGTTAAACCATTTGCCACGGTATATATATGTGTGTGAGAGTGTGTTCCTGATGATCAGTACCCAGCAGTGGTGCAACGAGCATTGGCGAGAGAATGATCCATTCATCCGTCCCCGTTTGTGCTCTTGGTCCTGCTCAGCTTTAACCTTGAAAGTGTGCTCACGTTTAAAATGCACCTTTGAAAAATTCACGTACGGAATGTTTTGCCAGCTAAGTCTACCCCCCCCCCCCCTGTCTGAGCGTGCTGGGCGTGAAGTAATATTTTTTTTTACAAACACGTGGAGGTGAATTTGAATGTGTCCGCATTTGTTCAGAAACAGTTTGGGTTGATAGTTTATATTATTTTATTATTTTACCAGGCAAGGCCCCACTGAGCTATGAAGCTATTTTTGAGAAGTGACCTGGCCATCAAAAATGATAGCTCCAAAAAGTGGCTTATAATGTGGAAATTTATAGCAGCCAAATACTCTAAACGCATGTTTATTTTGCCGTTTTTTTTTACTTTGTCAAGCACCTTGAGTGAAGATGCTCTGTAAATATAAAATTAGATCATTCTCTGAAAAAGCTCCCATAAGGTATCATTCCAAACAACAATTGGTAACAGCCCGAAAGCACAATCGGAGAGCCAGTTGTACAAAACAAACGCAAAAACCCACGCGCTGCGACACACTGGCACATGCAAACACAACAACAGCAGTAGCCATTTGCCACTTAGTGGCGGTGACGTCACCACAGCGCCTGTGCCAGGCCAGGTGCACTTTGAGGCCGTGTGAAGTGTTGAAGGCTCGCTGGCAGGAGGTCACGGAACCAGACCCAGGTGCCATGGGTTGACTGACTGAGATAACTGGCAGATGCACCAGCTGTGCCTCCTACTGTGCCAACTTTGCTGCATTTTCGCAGCCCGGCGCTCTGCACACACGGACACACTCGCACGTGCAACCTTGCACGTTGATACATACATATGCACAGATGCGCAAACGCACATACAGATTACCGTAATCCCCCTTCGAAGACAGGCTCACGGTCGGACCTTCCAGGGGGCCATTGGCTATGGTTGGAGCCTCCAGCCTCTAAAAACACACCACCTCTCACCGTTCAACTCTAATAATACCTGGTGTGTCTTAGCGCCGGCTTCTTGTTTTGACGGGCTAATGCTCGAATTTATCATGCGATATGATACCTACCATGAGTCGCGTGTGCTGTTTCGACCAAGCAAGCTTTGTTGTCACACAGTGATTTTATACTCGCGCGCGTGCGCACACACGACCGTGCAAATACACCCAACAAGCACGCGCTGCTAATACAAGCCGTGCCTGTTATTATTACAGGTTGCCAGCCACAAGGGTCTCAAGTCTTGTTTCCTGGGCCAGGAGGGGGTCATGAATCAGTATTGGCTGGCCTGGCAGATTCGGGCAGTAGGGAGCCAGAGCTGAACGGAGCAACGCGCTCCCTGCGCTACGAGCATGTTTACCGTGTGTGTGCTTGTCATGTTTTTACCGTGTGCTTGTCATGTTCACTGGCAAAGGAGAGGATGTCCAACTCTGCCTCGGGGATGGGGGGGGGGTGCGGATAAAATTGGTCCCCTTGAACAGACGCTCCTCGAAGTTCAGCGATATCAACCTGCGCCCTGAGTTGATCGTGCTGCAAACGAGCGAATGTGCAAAACAGTTAATTACGGCGTTGTTGTTGTTAGGCCCGTTGCTACGCAACGTGCATTGGCAATTGAGAAATGTCTTAATTTTTTTGGGGCCGATCAAATTATGAACGGGCGCTGTTTGTCCTTGCCAGCGTGCATTCGTTCGGCCTCTTGTACGGGTGGGTTTAAAAAATATATATACAGTATATATTTTCACGCGAAGAATTAAACTCAACTGAGCTGCGTACAAGAAAGCCTGGTGGCCCATACTGTTGGGCTCATTTAGGGGAGCAATTGTGGGTCCTCTACCAAGGCAAACGTAGCACGCGCACAAATCCCCGCATAATCTCCGGGATTGTGAATTCTGAACGTTGCACTGCCGGCCAGCAGAGCTTGTGTAAGCTGGTGTCTTGGCACAATGGGACACTGAGTGGGCCCATTAAGCTTGATGCCAGCATTTAAATAAAACAGTAATTTAAACATAGAGTTTTTACAAGTCACAAGAGCTTGTGTGTGTGTTTTTTACAGCCCTTCGCCAACGCTGAATGCATGCTTTTCCATGTCTTGTCTTGGGGGGGTAGGGGAGTTTGACCATACGTCACCTCACTCGTCAGTGTGGGGTTAGTGCAGGGGCCAGTTCAGCTGTAATGTTATCCGTGGCCAGGGATAAAACTCAGGTTGCCGGGTTCATAACTTAGCGCGCTTACCGTTGTGAAGTACAATAGAGCCTTTAAAAACACCTGACATAAAATCATGCCCGTCATTATTACAGATTGATAACCACAGAGGTCTCAAATCCTGTTGACTGGACTCGGCATTGGCTCGGGTGGCAGGTTCAAACAGTCAGAGCCAGAGATTAACTCGAGCAAGCGCAGCCTACCTACCACTGTGCAGTAAGGCGTAGACTGTAACATGCATTTATAAATTATTAACTATTCTAGTTTTTATTCGAGCAGGTAAGGCCCACTGAGCTATACAGATTTCAGAAGCCACTGGCCACAAACTATAGCTCGATGAAGTGGCTTATCATGAGGAATTTATCGCAGCCAAGTACTCTAAACACACGTTTCTAAATGTGGAGGGGAAAACCGGAGGACGCGGAGAAAAATCCACGCCGCCACGGGGAGAACACACAAACTCCAAATATACAGGCATCGTCAGGGTCTGGATCGAACCCATGACCTCCTGTGTACCAGGCGAGGTAGTTAACATCTCGCCATAGTCAGAGCCAGAGGTTAACCCGAGCAAGCGCTGCCGACTTACCACTGCGCTGTAAGGTTTATCCTGAAAATGCCTTTATATGAATGCACCCATCGGTGATGAAACACTCGCCGCTCGCTGTCCACGCTTGTCCTTGCAGAGGTCGGTGCCCGTAGAGTGCCGCGCTTGGTGTCGGCGCAGAGTGAACCGGAGCCTCCCTTCGGAAAAGGAAACGATCGCCTACACAGGCACACAGGGTACGTGCTGCTGCGCACCGCTCCACTCTTACCGTCTCTTGGAGGCCGCTGCACTGCTGCTCTGAATGGACCTCTGTATTGGGGGGTGGGACGGGGGGGGGGGCACTTATTAGAGGATCCTCCTCCTCACCCTCCTCCACCTCATCCTCACTCTCCTCCTCCTCACTCCCCTCGCCCTCCTCCCCACTCCCCTCCTTACCCTCCTCACCCTCGTCTTCGTGGTGGTGCGAGCAGCGTGTGAGCCGTGGACGTGCGATGGCGGCGGCGGTGGCGATGGTGGCGGCCACGTGGCTCCGTGCCGGGAGGCTCCCGGGCGCCCCGTGGACGTGCGAGTGGCGCCCGTGGACGTGCGCAAGCTCGTCGACATCGCGTCCGACGCCCTCGTGCTCACCTGGAGGCCCAACCCAAGCGGTGAGCGCCACACGACGACCAAGATCCTCCCGCGTGCGGTCTTTAAGAGGCCCCTCGGGGGCACGAGCGCCGTCAGCGAGCGGCGTCCTTGCGAAGGGCCGGCCACGGCGCGCGAATGAGCGGTGTGCCCATAAAAACACGCACGGCCGCCTTTGTCTCCCCACCGCCGGTGTTTTACACGCCGCACCAAGGCACGCATTCGTGTGAGGCTGAGTCGGCCTAGGGGGGGTCCAGCACCGGTTCGAATATTCGTCACCGGTGTTGGCCGCGAGTGGCGAATCAACCTCCTCGGGTCACCGGGTTCGTAGCGCAGCGCGATAACCGCTGGGCTACCGCTTCCGTCGTGCCCGCATGCGCACGTGGTGACCGCGTTGTCAAGTAACCCCCGTGGCCCACGCGGTGTAGGGAAGCCGTCGTTCAGCGGCCTGCTGACAGTAGAGCCATGCCGTGTGTATACAATGCAACTATAGACTGGGCGAACGATTCGGGCAGCGGCTCTTCGTCGGAATAGGAAGACTTCAGGCCAAGACATTAGCCTGTTATATATATGTTTATGTATGTATGTGTGCCATGAGGTTGTGTTCATCGCAGGCGTTTTGATTTTAACTTGGCTAAATAAATGCATGGGCAGAACTCCATCCTGTGTCTCCACGTTCACATAAAAAAAACACTTTTATGAGTTTATTTAGTAGCAGTGCATTTTATTATTTAACTACTATCAGGTAACTATTCATATGCTTATTTAAAAATCTGGTCATCGGAAAAAAAAATGTGATTCTCATCAGGCCCCATGGTGTAAAGTGCAGTCTCCAACTATCATTATGGGGCGCCGCGGTGGCAAGATGTTAACTACCTCGCCTGGTATACAGGAGGTTGTGTGTTCGACCCCGACCCTCACGACGCCTGTATAATCGAAATTTGCATGTTCTTCCCGTGGTCCCCTGGACATTTCTCCGGGTCCTCCGGTTTTTCCCTCCATCTTTAGAATCAAGAGTGTTTGGTTGCTATAAACTTCCAAGTGATGAGCCACTTCGTTGAGCTATCATTTGTGGCCCGGTCTCGTCTGAAAAAGAGCTAGAAAGCTCGGTGAGCCTTACCTGGTAAAATATTTTTAAAGAGCTTAATTGTTTCGTAGTTTAAGTTTATCAACTGTCTTTTTGACCTTTCCATTGATGTGCTATGCAGAAGAGTAAATTGGACAAAATATCACCATTTATACATTTTTTTCTGGCTTGTTAAACAAGTGCTGCTGCATTGCCAGATTGTTAGCGGAAAAAGCACTCCATCCAAACTCTGGGGGTTTAATCTTCTGGCTTCTTTGGGATGTTTGGACGGCACCTCCCGCACGAGACAAGTTTCTGTGTGGGAGGACACGGGAATTCCCGGAGAAAACCCACGCATGCAACTTCCGTTTTTACCAACAAAAGGGAATCCAGGCCTCAGTGCTCCCATTCAGCAGAGACAGGTGGTCAAGCAGAGGAGGAAGCACTTTGCTGATGGCTAAGGTGGTAATCTTCCATTGGGTCCTGTCGGTTAATCATTGACCATCGTCTCCCTCACAGCGGACAGAGTGGCATTCATGTTTCGTGGTTAGGATTTGAGAGAATGATTAAGGCACTGACAGACTGGTAGTTGCGAATCGCCAGTCTCGTGTTTGCCATAGCCCCCAAAAGTCGCCTAATCATATGTTGTATCCTCTTTAGGGCAGCCTTGTTGATTAATCTGTGAAGTTATTGTTAGTTGTGCTTGGGCACCAGTTGCTATTGCAGCAATCTCACAAAATACAGTAAAACCTTGGATTGCGAGTAACTTGTTCTGCGAGTGTTTTGCAAGACGAGCAAAATTTTTAAATAAATATTAATTTGATAAACGAGCGAGGTCTTGCAATAGGAGTAGTACGTATACGCTTTGTCTGCCGAGCGTCACGTGATCACAACTGATATACGAGTGCTTTGATATACGAGTGCTTTGGATTACAAACACGTTTCCGGAACGAATTATGCTCGCAATCCAAGGTTTTACTGTAATTGTTGTTTCATCTGTGAATTTAAACGTATTTATTATTTCACTGTTATTGAAATTGGGGGTGCTTAGCACACTGATCGAGCTATGAACCCGACAATCCGAGTTCCATCCCCCTGCACATCCGACATCGTAAGTGAGAGTGACGATATCCGAAACCGGTCCTGGGCCTCCCCTTCTCCGACCCACGTCACTGACCGGCGTGGTGAGAAGTATTGACGTCTGTGACAGACGTGATGTTGGCGGCGGCGGTGGTCGTTGGCGGGGGAGACTTTCATCCAACATCGTCCCGCACAACATGCGGTACAACCCAACAACAGCACACATTGGAGAACTACACGTCAGCGTAATGCACACTTTGGGGCAGTTATTGAAGGCGGACTGGCATCAAAGTCCCACGACACACCAGAGCAATTTAGGGCAATCATCGCTGGCATTTTCTTCTCCGGCGAACGCGTTTTTCGCCCCAAGCGGCTTGCGTACGGAATCGACGGAATTAGTTTGATTCCTTTTTTAAATTCTATCAGAAGCAAAAGTCAGGCAGGGACTCCGGCCGGGGGCTGTCGACCCCAGATGTCGACGACAGAATCCCAGACAGCGGAGGTCCATGGAACGGAGAGACACCTCCACGGGCCTCCCACCACCACCACCACAGGTTGACATGCGAGCAGCAATCAGCCTTAAGGAGCTCACAGGCAGCTGGGAGCAATTGGCAGATAAATAGTGCAGCTGGAAGCCATCCTGGCCCAATGGACAGGAAGTTCTAATGTTTCTACATGTGGGGCAGAGAGAGGGGGGGTGGTGGTCGGCAGGGAGGGAGGAGTGGGGGAGTAGAATGGAGGTGGTTTTGTTCTGAGGAAGCTTTGGAAGAGTGGGGGGGGGGGGGGGCGGGTGGGGGCGGGTGGGGGGGGGGCAGTGGGGTAAATGGGGGTAACTGAAATTCTTTGGGGAGTGGGAGTGCTTCGTGTTAATGGACATGCTGACGAACGAAAATAAATGCAAAGTTTGTTGGGATAAACTGATGTTTTGGCCGTCTAGCGACCTGGCGGTTGTTGGTGTTTGCAGTAATGTTGGTGCAGATGTTGAGGCGCACTGGTCGGAGCGTGTGGCTCGCAGTCGGAAGGTGGCGGGTTTGATATCCCAGTTGTGGAGGTCAACGTGGCCCATCATCTCTCTGCGGTCAATAACATACGTACCACTGTTATGAAAAGCCATTTGTGGCTGTCTTTTGGTGTGGCTCGCACCTACCGTAAGAATGTGGAATTTCCACCGCTGGTTGTAAGCGGATGATAACGTCGCGCGTGCATATCAGCGGGAGAGCACTTTTTTTTTGTTCTCGAATAATTTTAAAACATTTACAATGGTCTCCTTCCTTTTAGCTGACAATTATATTCCGTGCGCAAGGAAGATCTCATTGGCTGTGTTTGTACCTCGCCAGCAAACCCTGCGGCTATGATGGTGTCCGAGCCATCTATGAGTTCGTTGGTCGACGATAATAACGGCGGCAGCCACTTATAACCCTTCCCCGTTCCGAGACGTCTGCGAGTTGCAGGGTGGGGTCCCGTTCACCGCTCGATATCGGAACGCGCAAGCGGTGAGCGCCGCTGTTTTGAAAGCCATTGTACTCGCTGCAGAGAACCGTAGCTTCATGACCGCACTCTACGACAGACTGTAGCACACTCCTCCCGCATGGCCTTGTGGGAGCATTGTGGGAGCCTCGGTACATCTTCCGACCTGAAGACGTATCTATAAGGTTATTTTATTTTAGTTTTTCTTCCAATTCTGATTTTCTTCCGATTCCGAATGGGAAAGGGCCAATGGAATGCGTCCGAGAACAGGGCCAATGGAATGCGTCCGAGAACAGGGCCAATGGAATGCGTCCGAGAACATGTCCAACGGAGGAGATGGAGCGATTCAATCGGTTCGTGTGCACGTGCTAGGCTAGGTGTGCTTATCACATCGCAGGATCGTGAGTGGTGGCAGCAATTTTTTTGTTGGGGGGGTGGTGGGGGGGCTTCATCTAGCAGCGGATTGACCACGGTTGATGATGATCATCGATCGTCACCAATGACAGGTCAGGGCGCAGCAGCCTTTTGTTTGTTGGAGCACGGACGTCGCCGCTGCAGCAAGGCAATCTCGGTGATCCACGAGCCGTGAATTTTCCCAAGCGTTGTGGTGTTCGTGGTGGGACGCTCACGTACGCAGCTCAGCTCAGTGTACAAACTCCTTAAACCCTGCATTCCGTGCGCCCTATCTCTCTACAGATAGCCAAGTGAATCGGCATATTTAAAAAAGAAAACAGAGAAAGAGGGAATTCTTTTTTTTTTACTTCTAGAGGGGCACGGAGATGGGAATGTAGATTGTGGGGGATGAAGAGCGTGTATTTTGGTTCGTGTTTCTGTTATTGGGGCAAGTGCTGTTAGCGACAACCTATTTAAGGCTCGCGAAGGAATGGGCCAACTTCAACCTTGGCCGCCTTCGTCTTTCCGGTGCTGATGTCATTTTACAAAAACTGTCATATGGGATGTTTGTATGTAGGCTATCTGTGAATGTGGCAGAGGTGTGGTTTGTACGTAGGCATTCGTGGTATTGACTGGGATGTCGTTTTATATCGTGATGTACGGCCCCTTATAAATCCGCTGCTGCATGAAGGTGTTCCCCCACACTGTGTCGGTCGGTCATGGGGGATGTTCGTCCATACTTAACCGCACTGGTCCGTGCGGGTTTGGTGAAGATGGTGGCCAGTGATCTGTATAGACACCACTCCGTCATGGATGTCGGCTTAAACTCGTAAAGTGTGTCCCTACCTACGTGTGTGTTTGTGTGTTGTGGGAACGGCGGTGCAGCGGTTAGCACGTTGCTGTACTTACCCGGCCCCCCGAGTTTGATTCCCGTTCACGGCCAATGCCAGTGACGATTGTCTGAGCCAGTCCTGGACCCTCTCCTAGTTCAACAAATGAGTACATAGTGTGGTGTGT